TTGTTGCGAAGCCAGAAGCGCAGCGATTTGACGAGAGGCGTGGACAAACGGATTCGAACAAAGGACCACGTTCTTTTTTTTTTTTTTTCAACACGCGTTCTCGAACTTTTGTTTTTTTTTTTTCTCTCTCCCAATCGTTGGCCAACGTCCAAAAAAAGTGACCACAAATGGAGAATCGATGGGACAACAAGCGGACTCATTAATTCTGTAACTGCGTTGCACGGCCGCGTATCTTTCCGATCGGCGATCTGTCACGTTCCAAAAGGAACGTATAAACAAAACGAAGCAGTTTCCACGCAGTTTATGCACGATCCTCGAACGTGGTCCAATTTCTTTTTATTTCGCGTATTTACTTTCAACCTATTGACGATCATTTGTAGTTTGGAATTATTGGTATTTTTTTTTTTTCTTTCTTTTTTGCAAAATTTCGTTAAAAAGATTTTACATGAAAGACATATAGTTGAGAATAATTAAAGATTCGCATCGAGCGATTAAGTCTTTTTGGATATCGTCGAAATATGTAAATGGAGAAACAAAAAATTTTAACAGCGGAAGCGAAATAGTTAGGATACGCGCTTCTTTGAGTACAGCAGGCGGGCATTCGCGGATTTATAAGTATGGAAATTGCGTAAAAATTAATTTAATTTAAGGAGAGATGTCATCTTGAAAAATGAAAATCGAAAACATTTTGTTAAAAATATATTATTAAATTGGTAATTTTGTATAGTTGAAATTTGAAAATTCTAATAGAGATATTTGGTATTTTGTTCCCACTCTACCTGCCAGATTAAACGTTTCAACGCAATATTTCCAACTTTTTTTCGATCCGTGCACCGTAAAAATTGTTCTGATGAATTAAAAAACGCATGCCCGCATTGGCGGGATCGATCGTGAAATTCGATTAAAAAGTTGAATTCCGCGACAATTCGTAACAATTTTCGCGGAATGGAAACTCTGGAACGTACACCAACCAGCTGTCGTGTTAAAAGTCGCGCGTGTTTCCGAGTATACCACGTGTCATAACGGATGTTACTCGTGGACCGATTAAACTATTTCTTCCGCCAAAGTGCGCAAAAGTGTCCTATTTTTATCACGACTTTTGGAAAAAAAAAATGTACGATATTTCTGTAACATCCTTTTCCTTGAATGGAAAAATGTTAAAACCAATAAATTGTCTCGAACCTTTTCTCTCAGATTATAAGATTTTAAACGGATATTGATAAATCGAAGATGTATTTGTAGAAAATTTAAAATAATAGAGAATGTGCACGATATACAAAGGAACAGAAATATTCCAAACAAAGTATACGTTTTTCAATAGTTGTTCAGATTTGTTACATATCGAAGATCTCTCAGAAAATTAATCAAATCCATTTTCTAAACAATTCTTAAAAATGGATTAGCATTTAATTCTTTGGAAACAAATTGATTAATCTTCGATCAATTTGAGTGATCTTTGTTGTATAATTATAAGTAATAATTATCCTCTAAAAAAACCAGATTACTTATCATTTCTAATAAATACAAGGCCCAATATGCAAATAATATTCGATGTAGTAATATGATTATTACGAGTTCGACAAACTGTCATAAATCTTGGACGAGAGAAGAATTATAACCGGATCCAACCCCCATTGTGCGATCCTCGTCACCGGTTTCCTCTGCGCAGGATTACGAATTTCCAATTTTCTCCTGTTGTTGTCGTTCCTTTTTTTCCTCTCTCCCTCCCCGTTTTGCTTTCGATTCGTCAATCCTGCGATCGTAGCTTTTTCAGAGAAATCTGCGACGTGGCGATTGGCGTCGCGCGTGCACAGTATGATTCCTCCCGGAACAAACGATATTCCCCTCCGCGAAAATCCATTTAAATCCTTTTTTTAAGGAACCAAATTCCTCGTTTCGACCTGTCAGCGTTGAAAAATTGAGTTCTCTCCTCATTTTTTTCCCCTTTCTTTTTTTTTTCGTTTTGTTCTTTTTTTTTTGTTTTTTTTTTTTTTGTTTTTTTAATATTCCTACATAGTATTCCGCGTAGTCGAGCAAATTGAAATTCAAATGACCTTTTTTTTTTTTTTTTAGAAATTTAAAAACAGTTATCAAAACGTTTGAAAAAACTGTCGCCACTTTTATCTGGAGCTTTCATTCTGGAGCTGGCTTGGATCGAAACATTAACCTTGGAACTCAAAATTTCTTCAAAAGATATATTTTGAATGAATGAAAATAGTGCATTGGAGATTTACGACGAAAAGATTGGAATAAGGAAGAATCGGGATATCCAATGTCGAGCAGAAAATACGAAACATTGGCGGAAAATTTTCAATGCTGATACTCTTCGAGGCGGAAATCGAGATTTATCGTCATTTCATTGTCATTTTTCCCGGATGTTGGACAAGACAATGGCCTTTGTTCCCCGGTTTTGTCCCAGAGCAGGCCATGCTCGTGCGTTAGAGTTTTAAAATAGGCGTCACCGTTGAAGATCCGAATGCGCGCATCCATGGCCGCGCGCGTTTTTCGTTTGATTTATGCGGTTGCACGGTGACACGGTGATAAATGAGTGTGTACTGGATGCACTTGGGACGGCGGTGTATCGATCTCCCAGATTCAATCCATTTGGTTTCGATGCAGATAATATCATTCGATCGATCTCGTTCGATAACCTGTATTCACCGATCCTCTTCACAAATCCTTAATTGCGATCCAAGTTTTTCAAAGTTACCCCGAAAACTGATACATAATATTCTATACGCTTGATATACATCTGATATAATATCCTCGAATCATTAAAGTTCATTAACAACGAACTCTGTCGTAATCTTGGAGTCGCGTAACGTTATCGCAGGATTGATTCTAAAGTTCTAAAGATTCACAATTTTTATCCCGCGAAGATCGAAGATTAATATTACAATCATCAGAATTATCATCCAAGTTTTATATAAAAATTCTGCAGAATCGGGAATGAAATCGCAGATTCGTTTTCCATCTTGATTAATTTAAGACGAAGAGAGCAGCCGTTGAACGAAATAATCAATTTCCGCTCGACGCAACCTTCCAACAACCCGTCCAACTATCCAACCATCGTCTCCCTTGCCGAAGGGAATTCGATAAATCGAAATCGGCGTGGAAATCGGCAATACTTAGACGATCGATCACGGGATGTATACTCCCCTTGTAAAATGAATAATTAATGCATTCAAATGGGGCACACTTAAATCGTGCGCGGCGTTTCCGTCTTCCACCCAAATATCCATTACACGCATCCTACACGGGGACCGAGCGTTTCTCATTTGAATTCGAACACGAAGACGAGCATCGAGCTCTCTTCTCTGTGTAACCGCGTTGCGCGTGTTACCCATGAACGTGTTACGCCCGCGATTTCCAACGCGTTCGTGTTCCCGGATAACACGAGCCCCCTTCAATATATTCATATTCCAAGTTACATGTCTCTACGGTGCTTCAATCTCCATGGAAGATTGAACCGGGAGATCGTGTTTCGGGAATCCGGGGGCCCTGTAACGAAACTCTTGTCCCGTGAAATTCGCGTAATAAATGCGCGCTTGCGCATTGCCCGATTTTCGGCGCAATTTTGGAATTTCCTCGGGGGAGGGAGGAATTCTTTTTTTTTTATTCTTGTTTTGCGGTGATTGATCGAATTTTTGAAAGATTCGGAGAATTTACACGTAGAATGCACGTAGAAAAAAATATTCAAAATATAGTATGGTTTGTGACACTCGAGGAATTTTTATTTGAACTTCATTTTAACGACGAAGAGAAATAATGAGACGAGAAAATGACGCTTGATTTTTCTCGAGATCTATTTCGATTTCTTTCCTTTCTTTTTTCTTGTTGAAAGTTTAAGAAAGTTTTTGTTTTTGTTTTACGGTGATTGATCGAATTTTTGAAAGATTCGGAGAATTTACACGTAGAATGCATATAGAAAAAAATATTCAAAATATAGTATGGTTTGTGATACTCGAGGAATTTTTATTTGAACTTCATTCGTATTTAAAAGTGATAAAAATTTTAACGACGAAGAGAAATAACGAGAAAATGACGCTCGATTTTTCTCGAGATTATATTTCGATTTCTTTCCTTTCTTTTTCCTTGTTGAAAGTTTAAGAAAGTTTGAAAGATAACGATGAAAACGAAGAAAAGAAGAAGAACTGACGAATCGTGCATAATTTTGAACTTCGTGTCACCGATCACGATTCTACGTGTTTCCTTTCAATTTTTTCTTTTCGTTTTTTATTTTTTTTATCCCCCTCCTTTTTCGTTAAATCTATAAAGTTGGGGAAAGTTTGGAGGATAGCGGGGAAGAAAAAGTAAAGGACGGTGAATCGTGTTTTTCAACGAGCAGAGAAGTTCAGAGCACTCGTTCGTCCTCCTCTGGCGAGCGTACTCGGAAACCTACACCTACAAATAATCGCGAAATAGAAATGGAACGGATAAAAGATAAAAGATAAAAGAAATCTCATCTACGAACCTTTCTTTTTTTTTCATTTATATTTTTTATTTACAACGTATTTAATGCGTTGTTTCGTCGTTTTATTGCGCCATCTCGCGGGAACGTATCCTCGACTTCCGTATCCTCAATTATTGAAACGAGACTACCCCTTTGACGGGGTGTCTGCCTGTATTCCTACCGGAGCTTACGTTGGATAATTGGGAATTATCCGGAAATGTATTTCGGCAGAGTAATTATGGTGCACCATCCGTTTAGACCGATGGTGTTACGTTAGTCCAATCGATGGGTGATTGTATTCGCTGATTCTGGGAATATTACATTCTTGAATCTCGAAAATTAAAGGAATATTATAAAAAAAATTCCTCGATACAACTTTTCTTTGGATAGGGAAATGGAAAATGGAAAGCTAATCGATGAGATTCAATTTTCTCCAGGACTCTAATTAGCTTTTTAATAATTAATATTAAAAGTTATACGAAGAGTTTCAATTCGTTGTTTCACTGATTTATTATTTCTACTAATACAAAGGTGTCTTTTGTTGCAGGCCATCGCAACAGCGCCGAGAATCCCACCGACAAGTCGATTTGAATATCGCGGTGCGCGAGCATCCGTTCATGGACAGTTCGGTGACCGATCATTGATCGAAATCGTCGTCGTCGGCAACGAGGGTTCGACCAATATGGATCGATTCCGATTCTCCAGCCGAGAATGAAAAAAAATATAGAAGAAAGAGAAAAAAAAATCGTTTTTACCTTTAATAATAATTTAGAATTCCCTTTTCGATCGATCGAATTTGATCAAGTAGTAGCTCATCCTCGAGGAACTCGGTGATCGTCTCGACGACAACATTCATTAACGCGAGTAGTTAACGTGAAAAATCGCGCGAAAAAAAAAGAAAGAAAGAAAGAAAGAAAGAAAGAAAGAACAAAGCTGGAGACGGATCGCCGTTACAAAGTGGGCCATTTATTGTACATAAATTTAATAGGACAGCGTTCTGGACAGACAATGTTTTCGATGGAAGATCTTCAAAATTACTCTTGGTGCCAAGGTGATGAGAAACACCGGATGAGGGGAATATTGGAAGGATGTACAACGGTGATGGAGAGGAGTTGATACTGTTTGGAATGTTGATACTTTGAAATCGATAGGGTTTAGCAGAGATTTATTGCTCGTTACGGGAGGATAGAGGAACACGACGAGGGGTTGGGAAAGTTGATCGGGAGGATGGAGGTTATTATCTCATTGAATCGTTCAGTTATTTTAATTATATTTCCTCCGGTGATAATGATATTATTTACGTAAATTTGGTAAATTTTTTTCGTAAAATTATACACATTGATAAATTGCATGAATTGGAAGAAGAATACAGAGATACATTTCCAATATTATTTACTTTCGATATCAATGATTAATAAAAGCATCGAAAAATATAAAATCGTGCGCAGTCAACGATATAAACAAACAAGAATTGGTATATTATTCAAATAAAGGCGAGAGATTCCTCTTAATAAATCGTCGTTTATTCATTGCTCTCGATAAGAAAAATATAACGCAACGATTATAATTATCAGAGACGTATAAGGGAGGAAGGAAACTCTTGGTATTATCTAAAAGGGTGCACACTAATAGAATCTGACCTCTCGTGATCCGTATGCATCAGCAGCCTCGGTTTAACCCAGATACCACGAAAACGTCATCGACGTTTTCGACGGCCAAAATAGTTGGGATAGTCGAAGGACCATAGGTATAATTAATTAGCCGTCGAGATTCTTTTCGAACTAGATCCTGTCTAGCGTGAAAAATAATCGTTTCAACTTGGATTTGGTGGCTGCATTTAGCAAGGTAAATCTCATTTTACGATGTAAATCTTCGTGTTTTATTATCGCGTGTACAAACAAATGATATTCGCAACGAAAACAAAAAAAAAAATAATAATTCCATCCCTTACTTTCCCTTGCCTTTTATCATTCCTCTCTTCGTTTCACTCTCGTCCCCGTTTTTATTTTTCTCTCCATTTTTCCTCCCCCTCCCCTCGTGTTCTCTTTCCCATATTTGAAAATTCTCTCGATTCCCCCCTTGAAAGTATTTGAAATATCTGGATGAATTATTTTCGTGTACACCACTTGCAGCGTGGCGTGCTGCGCATACATAATGCGTTATGCGTGGCGCAGAGAAAAGAGAGAGGTTGGAAACGCGCCTCGGGGGCACGAGACGGGGGTGAAGGGGAAACAAAGGGATAATTGTGTACAACGAAATTCTCTAGCTGTGATGCTTGAAATGACGCGGAGAAAATTGGATCGACGAAGAAGGTTTCGCGCGGGATTGGGGATTTTAAACGAAAATTGCGCGGAATAAGATCGATGAATAATTTTTATATTGTAAACGTTATTGTAAACGCTATATGTAAATTGTGAATCTTTTTGAAGAAATATTTGTGGGAAGAAAGAATTTGTTATTCAAGGAGGAAATATAATTGGAGGGACGAGGAATGGATGGGGAAGAATATTGAAAAAGTAAAAGGTTTCGCTGCAACAAAACGAATGTACGTATGTCATCAATTTCACGTAACGTCGTTTTATTTGTGTATATGTACATCTTTATAGAGGTATCCACGAAAATCATGGTTATATCGAATGTGGAACGATGGGAAAGAAGAAGGGAACTGGTTCGAGTCGACAAATGTACCAAGCCTTTCCATTCGTGATTGAATGAATATCGTTGTTCAAACGGTGTCGATACGTGATCAATGTAATGCAATGTACTTTAGATATCACGATCCTCGTAATTTTCCATGAAACAATATTCCTCCGTTTAACCTTCGAGAATACAAATCAAGAATTGCCGCGATATCGCGCCGAGAATAATACAATCGTTGGAAGGAAAATATCGAGAATTTTTAATGTTGTTCCATTCGTGGAATATGAAAGTAGATCGCGTGTACAATTTATTGTACATCGTGAGAGAAGGGAATAGTTGGAATAGATATTTTACTTCCTGTTTTTTGTTATAACTGTGCTCTTCGATATTTCATCCGTTCGATGTAACAAGATATAATCGATCCCAATATCTTTCTACGTTTCTTGATAAATTAATTTTATTACGTTTCCAGGAAAAACGTAAATTAACAAAGAAAAATGAATATTCACGACAAAGAATAGAGGAACCAGTTCTCTCATCCTTTCGCCCGTCGAGAACAAAATTTCTTATGTAAGAAAACGAAAATTCTCGATTCCATCAATCGCAACGATCATGATCTTTGGCGATACCGATTTATCCTGCATCTATTGCTGACCATTCTTCTTTTTCACACTTTTAAGCAAAGAGGAAAAAGCACGACGAGCGTTGAGATACGCGATCTTCTTGACGGAATGTCGAAAAACGTAATGTCGGAACGAAACTGGCCGACATTAGACGAAGGGAGAATTTTATCTATACATATTAAACACGTGCACGATCTATACATATTATAAATAGGCCCGATCGATCGCGATAAGATTATATTTTTATATGTAAATATGGCGTTCCTTCTTGTTATCTTATTAAATATATCGACGAGGCGGTAGATAGAAACGAACACTGCGATCGAATAGTTCTGGTTTTTCGAGGAGATGCCAGAAATACGAAGAAAAAAAAAAAAAAAAGAAAAAAAAGAAAAAAAAAGAAGAAGAAAAGAGAGAGATCGATTCTAGCGTGAAAAGGAAATATTGTCGAAACGAACGAATTACTTTATCTTATGAATATTTCATAAGAATCTGAAAAGGGGGGGTAGGAGGAGAGCAACTGATTTTAAATCGTTGAACGTTGTTGGACATGATCGGTATTACTCCATTCCCTATTATTATTTCCCGAGAAATGAAAGATGCAAAACGAAGAATCGTCAACTCGATGAATTTGTATAATTTCGATAAAGCGATAACCGGCCCGTTATCTATCCTCGATTTTGCTTCGTCGTTTTATCAAATTTCCCGAGCGAATTTAATTGGTGAGGAGATTTTTATTAGAAATACCTCGAACGTAAAGAATACCCGCACGCTTTGTTCCTTTTTCGTAAAGCCGACAAAAATGCTTTTGACAAAATTTAATCTCGTTACAAAATTCTCGCCGATGATCCATCATGAAGAGAGACAGAGAGACAAAGAGAGACAGAGAGAGAGAGAGAAAGAGCACACAAACGAAGGAAAAAAAGGGAAATACATCGTTCGGGATAACGAGATTTCCGTTCGAGCCGTAGATCCTCCGAACACGCGCGATTAAATCTTGCTCGATTTTGGAGGTGACGTTTATTCGGCTCGCATGGTAAATTCGTACGGCATTTTTCACGCACGAGGATCATCCATCTCGCGCGCGTTATTCGAGCAAAAGTGACCAACAATTGTGTATATGCATATATATATATTCCGTATATCGTATAGAAACGACGCGAGGCAGTTGAAAAATCTATATTTATATATATATATACATATACAATTCTCATCGAAAGATGGATATGATATTTCGTGGCCGCGTGAAACGCGAGCACGATTAACAAACGGAGATTCGTATCTGATCGAATTTCGTCGAAATGTTATTAACAAAACGAGACGGGGATTGGATTGGTTGTATCGCGAATCGATGTCCCGAACGATTCGATCGCGTGGAAAAAGTTGTTGGATACGCGTAGTTGGATACATGGACGGGGTTAAATAGGGCGGTGTTAAGAGGGACAGGGGAGCGGTGGTCCAAGCGAGTTTCGGGGCTTGTCACGCTCGTAATGAGATTATGTTTGCAATGCGGCAACACGATGCGACAGGAAATGTTACGCGCTGCCCGACATCGGCCGAGAACTGGAGGAGGAACTGTGTCACGGAGGTGGTGGGCAGAATTTCGTTACAGGCTTTGGACGATGAGTATTGTAATAATTCGGGATTCATAACCGCGCCCCGCCTTCGTGGGAATTACGTTGCATCGACGGTTGTCCTCGGGGATAACGCGTTGCATGTTGTATTGGTATTGGTATATCGAGGTGAAAAAAATTTGGATTAATTTTTTAAACGGCAAAATACGAACGTGTATTTTATATCGGAAGTTGGCGAACAATGGACAGATTTTGAAATATATTTTTACCGATTCAATTAACTTTTCGTGTATACGTATATATATGTGTGTGTGTGTGTGTGATTTTTCGATAAATGGAATAATTAAATATACAATATCGCGTAGTTTGGTTTTTAAAATATTATGATAATATCCGGGGGAATTGAATTATAATAAAACAAGCTTTCCAAAGGGTAGAAAAGATAAATTGGAATTACGTTGCACGTAAATTTTATACGTGCGTTTATCGATTTTTGTCGACGTGTATTGAAACGCTAATTATAGAAAATTTATACGATGAAAGAGAAGGTGATAATATGAGAAAATTATGAAATTGGATTTCTGAGATTAAAAGATCGATTGGAAGACAAATTTTGTTAACGTTTCGAATTGATTCTATTGAAGCAAGAAGGAATTTCATTTTGATATTAAGACGAACCAATCTGGAACAGTGAATCGCGACACGGCGAAATCACGCGTCCATCAGTAGATGAGGAAATACAACGGTACACTGCGTGTGTCGGGATTTTGCAAAATTGTGCTGTCAACGGGGTGTCACGATAGCAGATGATCTCTGGTACAATCTAAAATTCGTGAAAAATACAGGATATCTTGCATAGTCTGAAAAAGGTATCAGTTTTTCGTCATTTATTGTCACACCAGACGGATCACGTGATTAAAACACGTATCATTTCTAACACTTCCTTTATTTCACTCTGATATATAGAAAAATTCCACATTTTGTGTATGTGAACATAATAATTTAAAATTCCGAATTTATTTTACACAGAACAATATTTCGTTCCAAACAAAAGTTTAAATTACAATGTTCGGAACTGCTCTTTCGTTATCGAATGATCAAAGGTGGAATTTTCGGAGAAACTTTACACGAGGATCTGTTAATTCTCGTTCACAATAAATATTTAATCGGTTCGAGAAAGAAAAATACAATTCGCCTTAATATCGCATCGATTTCGAATAACCGCAAGAACTTTTGGAAGCGAATACGAACTTGGTATTCGCAATAATACGGCGAATGCACCCGATCTGGGAGCACCTTTTGGTCAGATGCAATTGCACATTCTTCCCAGGGTAGAGCGCTGATCTTCCGGCTGCCAGGCTGCATTCCTCGAATACACTCCCCTTACGGCGAGAATTTGGTCGCTATCGGACCACCAATTTCTCGGCCCTATTCGCGTCGAGTCGATCCGCAAGTTCCCGTTTAACTAAAGGTAATTGGAAATTTTTAAGACTCTTGAGGAGAGGAAAGGATTCGTGGACAAATATCTTCGTTCGAAGAGTTTCTCGATTCACTTTTGCGTTTCGAGAAAGATAAGTTCGATTTTGAAAGGAACGAAGGAGGAATGCATTTCAGATGGAAGAGAAACTTTGATTTTTCGCGTGAAAACAACGTGAAAAAAATTAAAAATTTCGTCACTAAAACATAGAGAAAACCATGCCATTGAAATCGCTTTTTGATTTTTCCCGATATCTCAATCCGTTGCCGAGATATAAGGATTCAAAGTTTCCGTAACGCTTAACACGGTACAGAAATTATGAATGGAGCCGTAACCCAGTGACCTACATTTTTTTCTTGGAAGTGCGTACTACGCTTTTCCAGGAATCGCGTCTGACACTTGTCTGGGCTTGGGATAGGTCAGTGAGAGGAGGTGCGAGCGAGAGATCCGAATAAGCGACAAGGACCGAGATAGTAAATCGAGATAGTAAATTAAAAATTACCTTTTTCTTTACACGATGATATCTTGGGAACCGGAAGTCATATCGAGATAAATAAAAAAGGGTTTTAAAGAGGAAGGTTTCGCGATTCTAATGATCGCTGATTCGTTGACCGGAAGTCATTATTTTCGGAGTTATAACGGTTTAAAGTTTTCGTAAATTTTAATAGAGTTTAATACAGTTTAAGATAAGAAATTAAAAATTACATTTTTCTTTACACGACGATATCTCGGGAACCGGAAGTCGTATCGAGATAAATAAAAAAAGGTTTTAAAGAGGAAGGTTTCGCGATTCTAATGATCGCTGATTCGTTGACCGGAAGTCATTATTTTCGGAGTTATAACGGTTTAAAGTTTTCGTAAATTTTAATAGAGTTTAAGATAAATAATTAAAATTTACATTTTTTTTACACGATGATATCTCGAGAACCGGAAGTCATATCGAGATAAATAAAAAAGTGCTTTAAAGAGGAAAGTTCCGCGTTTCTAATGATCTCTTGTTCAATGATCAAATTAATATCTTCGGAGTTGTAACGGTTTAAAATTTTTTTAAACTATTTCGATAAAGTTTTAATCGGATTTTAAAATAAATTTCATAAGAAATATCTTTATTCGTGAAAAAATATTATAACGATCTCATTAATAGTGTATCAAAACTTAAAAATTCGATTTAAAAAAACTTATCTCAAATATTTTAATTAAAATTGAATTTTTATTTAATCGATCCGGTTTAAGTTTATCAATTATAAAAGAAAAGTAAATATGTGTCGTTACAACGTTACAGAAATAAAATACACGTTCGAGAGAAACTATCTACTCCGTTACCGGTATTGGATTCATTCCCTAAACTCGAGATTCTCTGACGATGTCGAACACCGTACGAAGAAGGGAACTTCGTAAATTTAATTTAGCTTAATTCGCAACCGACGAGATTTACTCCACCGGTTCAACGATATTTTCACGTCGAAGGATGGTGTATCGCGAGGATATTCATGCCGGGTTGCGCTTAAAACTTGTATCGTGAAGACAGCCATTATACGCAGAGAACCAAGCGTACTAACAATGGGAATGAAAATGATATCGTTCGCTAAATTAAACCGATGTTCCAAAGAACGTAACAAGCACGATATAGCCGCGTTCTAATTTATGCGAATATATTTGTTGTAACAGTGATGATGCGTTCAGATGTTTCATTAACAACCATCCACTGCTACTGTTGTTCTCATCTTTGTATCTGCATTAACCGTATCTCATTGCGTAGAAAAAGAATTACGATCAGAAAATGGAATTACGATCAGAAAATGAATTCGATATTTTTCTTCGAAATAAAATTAAAACGATTTAACACGAAGATACGAATTAATTTCATCTTCAATTTATTTTCACCGTTATATCTTATATCATTATTTACCGATTGAAGAATTTATAATGATCTTTGCTAGTTTTTATCATTTTTTCAAAAGGATAGAAAGAAAAATATAATATTTGTTCAATAAATTTAGATTCATTTTAATAAAATATCCATACAGATACACACAGAGTTATTCTACAGAAGAACTATATATATTTAATTAAATCATAAAGCTGCGAGTCGTGTGTGCATGTGGTACGGTCTCTCATAATTGAAATTGGGCAAAGGCAATCGTTTCAGTCATCCTTAATTTTTATAAACTTTTAAACTCTGATGTAAATAACGACGAAGAGAAACGATAATATCGGCTTCGAATTTCTTGCTCAATAAACGAATGAAAGATGGATCGTCGTCCAGCGCGGAACAAATAAAATACAGAATCTCATGTGTGCTCCCACCCTCCGACACACGAGAGTAAGAATGTGAAAAAGAATGAACGACAGCGAGAGAGAGAGAGAGAGAGAGAGAAAGCGCGAGAGACTGCGAGAGAGAAAGAGAGAGAAAGAGAGAGAGAGAAAAAATTACCACTATGAACTAGCGAGATAAGTTGTATAGCTGTTTATATATAAAAATTGTACTACGATAAATTACCTTGAAAAATACCTTAAAAATTCCTTATAAAAAAAAAAAAAAAAAAGAAAAAAAATCACTTATCACCGCTGAAAAAGAACATTAAAAAAAAAAAACTCGACGAAAACGTAAATTCGACGCGTCCAGCAGGCCTATAGCGTGCGTATTGTCTGGAGGAGTGGAAAAATGGCGGAGATGAGGGGTGGAAGAAAGGCGAGAAAACGAGACGAATGAGCGGAAATAAATTACGGTGGATTGCTGGACGCGTCCGCTCGCGAAGCTGTATATGTAAAGCAATTGTGAGTTATTAAATAAACGAATTGAAAGCACCATTCTGACCAACCATTCTCCCTC